CTCATTCTTTGTCATCGAAAATCGTGAGAATTATGCAAAGTGCAGAACATCATCGGATCAGACGGGGCCAGGGTGACCCTGGTAGGCTTTTAACTGTTGTTCTACCCAACTAGACGCTTGTACAGCAACGACGAGATCGAAATGTTGAGCATTGCGGCGAATGTTGGTGCGATACGGCGGCACACCCGTTTCAGCAGGTCCAGTGTGACGGCCTTCTTTGGCGATGCCTGCCTTCAGCGTCCAGTGTCTTCATCGAAGACGAGCTGCAATACGGAGGCCGGGTACCAATGCTTGACGTTGGATCTGTCGAGGGCCATCAGCTGGAACATGCTCAGCAGCGCCTCGATATGCTCCCTAGGTGTCGTCTTTAGAATATCTCGATCTGGATCCTCATCCGCCTTCAGGTTCTTCTCCATCATATATACGGTCTGTGGAAGATCTTCATCGAGATCCTGTGTCCGCCCTCGGCGCTCTTCTGCGGGCACGACGTCTTCGACTTCCTCCCTCGAAATCCCTCCTGCTCCTCGTAGCTGATCTTGCGTTGACGCCTCGGGATCAGTTGGTAGTTGAGGAGAACGAACAGTCCTAGAGATTGTAAAGGTATCTGTTCGTAAGGCTACCTCCAAGAAGAATAGCATAGCCCAGGTCGAAGCCGACGTCGGCGTCGTCGCGGTCGGCTCTGAAAGCGGTTCATATTAAAAGCGTATGGTTTAAAGTCTGGTACGCCTTTTATTGCCGCATGACGACAGTTTATTGGATTATGCCTAAGCGAAAAGAATTGAGATTTTCTCCACGGATGGTCCGCCGTTTAAGTGCAGTTTACCCCACCCCACTCGCCCCGCCCAGCCGCCCAGGCGTAAGCTAGACCCATACCGAAAGTGCGTAGCAAAATGTACCCCACGGCCATAACGGAGTGGTTGAGCACGAGCAAGAGCAGCAGGGTCAGCATCCGGCCGAGAAACGAAGGCAAATCGCAGAATGTAGACGGCTCCCCTTTAGAGCCGGCATTTTCAAAGGGAACGTGGTCTAAATTCAAAATTTTGATGCAAAGTCCGGCTTCAAATGCAAAGAAGTTCCCCAAAAATACATTTATTCAATTCCGGAATTGCTGAAAAGCCGCACATCCATCAAGGCAAAAACACATGACAGTAATCGGTATTCTGTCAATTGCATCATTTCTTTGGTGGGCGTGGACGGTGACCGGGTAGGAGTTGTGCTAAGGAAGGTAGATGAGGCGCAGGCTTCAGAATCCAAAGTAAAACGGCACCCCTTCCTGAAATTTGGTTACTTTTGGAGTTGCCAAACGTTTTGGGATCAAGGAATGTAACGTTGGTCAAGGAAAAAGCCCCTAGTTAGCCCCGAAATATCTCGCTAACGGAAACGAATCGGACTATCGTTACCCCGTCAGCGTGTTTCCGTCATTACTAGGGTTTGTTCTTCATACCCAACATATTCAAAGGGGCTTGGAACTCAAAATTCGTGCCTGCGGGAACCTACAGGTCAACAGACGAAAGGTGCACTGCCGAGAAGTATCAGAAAAGTGTTCTCCTTGCGAAATAACGTAAGATATTTGAGAAAAACCGAAATGCTTGCGGGGGGAAAACGCGCTTTTGAGTGCGCCACAATTCCATGTCGTAATGTCTTGTAAAGCTCCCAATCTCTCGATCTCGGTGATTCTCTGGTCAATTTTTATGTTTAAAGACCGTCAGAACGATGAAATTCCGTTGAGAGCAAGAAAGTTGCGCACCGAGCGGGAGTCGAACCCGCGATGGTTCGCTCCCCAGTCCGACGCGCTAGCCACTACACCACAGGGCCAAGTAGGGAAGGGAGTCAGAGACGCCCCAAACCCCAGAGGGCCTTTGCCCAGTACGGGGCACCACTAATGACGCATCTCTCCGCGCGTTCTTGGGGGCAGCACCCTCGGGGTGACAGTGCGCGTTCCATCGTTCTGGTAGTCTTTAAAGAGATGAGGACGGCATCTGCTGAACCCCCCTTGGGGAGGGGAGGTTCAACAGGTCCCGCGGCGAGAGAGGGCGCCCAGGGGAGAGGCGCAGAGACATTTTCTTTCCCGCGCGTAATCGTTTGGCTTATGCCGCTCCTATCCCTTTCAGATGTCTAGAATTGTCAACATTCGGTAACGATTCCAGAAATAGCTTCAGAATCTTGAAATTCAAGCTTTTTCACGTCCAAACAGGGGGCAAAGATTATGCGGCGCGGTCGCATTGCGGTCACATCTGGCTTTTTGCCATGAATTAACGCAAGGGGGCGAGGACCAGATTTCGGCGGCCCTTTAAGCTTTCTGTCAGGTTATCAAAAATGATTGTCCGATTGTTGCGTTAGAGGGATATTTCAGTGCAAACTGTAGGCTGTTGTTCTTGCCCACCCTGAAGGCTTTGACGATCTCCCGGTTGGCATGCGTCGGGCCGTCTGGTCCAAACCGATCCGGGTCGGAGCAAGCCTGAAAAAAAAATACAAGTGTTTCTAGTTCGTTAGCGGGGGGGTGGAATATTGATGGTTTTGGGGAAGCTAGCCAGCGTTCGTACGAAGCTTCTCCTAATAGAAAAAACATCGTCCTCTAACCCGATGCTGAAGCACCGGATCGGAATGATAGTTGCACCATTCGAAAACCCCTGAAACGGCGAGTTTGCCACATTTTTCAAAATCCTGTTTTTATTTAAACCAGTTAGTTTACAACCCATTTTTTTAAAATTTAGCGGTTTTTCTGGCGCTGTATACGAGCAACACTGCCTCAATTTTTCCAAGCAAATTGCACGTCGAGTTAGGGGTGGGGGGGGGTGTTTTATTAAGACGCCCGGTACATAACTAGGTTAGTTTTCGATGACCCAAAGTTCATAAAAATGCCCTCCCCCCGCTAACAGCCTAATACCAAAACATTAAACTCAAATTGCATACCTCGGCCAGCTTGTCGATGACCTCCTCGGCCAGCGACTCCATATATTGCTCAATGACTTTCGGGCACGCTCTGTCGCTGTCGTCCTCGGCATCGAGGGCACGCAACCAGGCGCAGAGGTCTTGCCCGAAAATCCCCGCCGAGACCCCGGTCTCTGAGAAAAGCTGCACGGCGACGAGAGTCCCCAGCTGCTCATCGCTCGTTTCTCGGGGGACCGGCTTGCCATGCAGTCCCACCGGCGACTGCAACAAGGTTCTTCACGATTTTCGACTGGGTCTTTTGCATTATCGGGGGGGGGGAACAGTTTTGTGTATTAATCGAGAAGTGCCTAGTAACTTAATAGAAATCAGGGTTGAAAAACCGCTTCGCGGCTTTTCAACCCTGGCCCCGTCTAACGCCCACATATTTCTTCCCGAACCTTGATTGCAAAAAAATGAAAAGGACCCCTCTACCCCCTTATATAAGCTTTCCCCACTTCAGGTGCATGCAAATTGGCTCCTAACAAAGAGATTTTCCGATATCTTTACAAAAACCCAATTTTACTTGCAAAAACAGTAATTTTTCAAAACTTTGATATGTGTGCACTCATCTCGGCACCATTACGCACCTAGCGACGTATCATACGTACCTCAAAAACCCTCCCCTGAGGCTGTAGGTGAGAGACAACCTCACGGAAGTTGCATGCAAATGCACACACACAGACACTATTTTTTTATATATAGTAGGATCATTTTCATCGTGTTTTTGGTAAAATAAACCATATCCTACTATCCTACTATATATAAAAAAATAGTGTCTGTGTGTGTGTGTGTGTATATTTGCATGCACTTCCGTTTGGATGTTCCGCACCTACAGCCTCAGGGAAGCTTTTTTTCAATAGGGAAGAAGCGTGAATAGGTAAAGAAGGGTCCCGAATCGACTGCCCACACATAAAAGTTTTGAAAAATCTCGATTTTCGATATTAAAATTAGGTTTTTGTAAAATTTTCCGCCAACCTCTTTGTTAGGAGCAATTAGCATACGCCGGAAGTGGAAATGGCTTATAAAAAGGAATAGAGGGCGCGCTTTTCATTTTTCGGTGATCGGTTTTCGGGAATTATGCAAAGTCAATACTTTCGTAGGTCCTAGGCAAGGCCAGGGTTGAAAAGCCGCGAAGCGGTTTTTCAAACCTGGTTTTCACTTAAAACCCATCTCAAAAAATTTTTTCAAGAAATTGACATGTTGGTCGGACATTCGGCATGTTTTGTATTTTCTTGACAAAACAGTTGTAGATTTTTTAGATTTACGAATAGTAAAAAAACAGCTTACAAACATTTTTGATGACTTTCAAAAAAATTGGATCTTTATAAATTGGTCCCCACCCCCCGATAATGCGAAAGAACCTTGAGTTGAAACCCGCCGACACTATAAGACGTCTCTTGTCAGCTCAAAAAAATGAAAATATAAAAATTTACTGTACTTTTAGTTTAGTCTTCAAATTTTGAAGATCAAAGCGGAAGGAAGTGTTTCTAAACCGTTTTTATTATTCCCCCAATGCAAAAACTTTACAACTTTGACAACTTTTGAATCCTTGTTTGACCCAACTACAGGGTGTCCCAAAAAAACGAACCATCTGGCATTTCGCCGTGTTACATCCAATCAGCCCCAAATTTGGAGCAAAGGTATATCAGCCCCTAAATAACAACAATCCTGACTTATAGCCCTGTAGCTATAGTAGTTCTCGAGTTATAACGAAAATACTGTTTTTCCCGCAATTCTAAGCAGTTTTTTCGGCTATCTTTTTGGACTTTGCATCGATTTGCATCGACTTCCGCCTGTGCATCCCTGGCTACGGTTTACTTTACCCCCCAGCCGGAAGTTTTTGGCTATAACTTTTTTATTTTACATTATTGTAGGCTCAAATTAAAACTCTTAGTATATTTTTCGACGCTCTATCGAATGGCGTTGCGAAAATCCCGAAAAAATAAGCGAAAATACCGACACCTGTGGGACCCTTCGGCTGTGGGGGGGGGGGGTAAAGTAAACTCTTACCGCATCCCTAATTTCGCTTAAGATCTTGGGTAATGTTGCGTTGTAAAAATCGCTTAGATCGAAGTTTATTTGGTTAATTTTAGCCCGGAAAAAATTACTTAAGGTAAAGAAGGCCTACCGGATCATTTTCACTTAATGTTTAGGGGGTCTAATTCCACGGAAACCCTATGAAAAATGGAAAATAAAGTTTGTTTTTGTTATAACTCGAGCACTACTGTAGCTACAGAGCTATAATTCAGGATTGTTGTTATTTAGGGTCTAATACACCTCTCGTCGAATTTTGGGACCGATTGGATGTAACACGGCGAAATGCCAGATGGGTCGTTTTTTTTTGGGAGACCCTGTACTGTATACCCAATATTTTATGCGCTTGAACAGGAACGCCGAGATCGACATGTTGAGGGTTGCGGCAAATGATCGTGCGACACGGCGGCACACACGTTTCAGCAGGTCCATCGTGACGGCCTTCTTTGCAATGCCTGCGGTAAGACTTTAGTTTACCCCCTTGTGTTAACTTTCCTAACGTCCTATTAATCCGTGGAGTGTCTGAAAGTGTTCGCCAGGGTCGAATTACTATCAAGAGGTAGTTTTCATACATCAAAAATTGTTGGATAATTTTTCATAACAATTATAGGCCTGGGTTCCGGTTAGAGTGCAGTTTAGCCCCACCACCCCAGCCCGCACCCAACTTTAGTATGATAGTTTTTTATAAACTTTTACAAAATTAACCACTGAAAACTATCTAAAATGCTATCAAACCCGTTTATATCTTGTTATCGGGCCGTAATGAATTACCGGGAAAATTTGTTCACCCGGCTGAACTCCAGATAACCCCCCAGCCGTCCCCCAACTTTCGTATCTCGGCAGCCTGTTCATCTACCGTTGTGTAAAATATATTAAAATGTTCGCCTTGCACTGGCGAGTATTTTGGTATACTTTACACGCTACTACAAAAACGGGTTGGCGAGATACAGTAGGTGCGAGCCGGCTGGGGGGCGGTCGGTAAGCTGAACCACAGCCTGGGTTTTCTTTAGCTAATATTCGCTGGTCCAAAGTCAGTTTTCGTATTTCGGCTCTCTTAAGCTCTACAGAGCTGTCAATGGTACCACACTGTAGCTCTTGCTCTGTAGAATAAGACTACAGTGCATATTAGACCTCCCGAACCCCCCTAAACCCCGCTAAACCCGGCGCACTGGCGCACCCATTAGTTTTTGCCGCAATTAGTCAAATAACACGGTTTTTGGGCTCAGATGTGGTTTATAAATGATTCACCTGACTCGAAAATATAAACAATCATTCAGATGCGGTCAACAACCCATGAAACTCAATTTTTAGGGCAATTTTGGTGAAAAAAACGGTAAAAACTTATCGAAACCTTATAAATTTGTGCTGTAAAGATTGTAGGACATCTATTGGTGCTTGCTAACCATAATACTGACAAAAAACCGGTGGAAACCGGTTAAAATTGCTAAAAAAACACTCGGGAAACACGAATTGAGGGTCAAAATCGCTGAAATATTATCCCCTGGGGTTGTAAACTATTGTCTGATAGTTTTTACTTATTTTAATTGATTAATAGACGAAAAATTTGAAAAGATCTTCATATATGTATATCATTTCACCGACCGAACCCCCCTTCGAACCCCCCTAAACCCCCTTCCGAACCCCTAAAACCCCTAAAACCCCTAACCCCCTTTAGGGAGGGGGGGTTCGGGAGGTCTAGTGCACATGGTTAGAAGAAATAGCGGAAATTGAAAATATTGGAGTCTTAGACTCCTGGTACAATGAAGCATCGCGACCTAATCTTTTCAACTTTCAAAATCTTGTAAAAAAATAGGAGCGAAAGCAAGGAAACTAATCTAATCGTAATTCGACCACATCAAACATTTTGAGATACTCGACGCAGTAATAGGACGTATGGCTGAAAAATTTGGGCTGGGGGGGGGGGTAAATAGAGTATATCCATGCCTGTCTTCAGCGTCCAGGTGTCTTCATCGAAGACGAGCTGCAATACGGAGGCCGGGTAGTAATGCTTGAGGCTGGATTTGTTGATGGCCATCAGCAGGATCATGCTCAGCAGCGCCTCGCTATACTCCCGAGGTGTCGTCTTTAGAATCTCTCGATCTGGATCCTCATCCGCCTTCAAGTGCTCCTCCCGGCTATACTCGGATGGAAGATATTTCGGCTAAACTCCAGATCCCCCAGCCGACCCCCACCTACCGTATCTCGGCTCCCTGTTCATCTACAGGCGTGTAAAGTATACCAAAATACTAGCCACAGCAAGACGAACATTTTGGTATACTATACACACCTGTAGTTGAACAGGGCGTTGAGATACAAAAGTTCGGTGCCGGCTGGGGTATCTGAGTCTTACCGATATTTCAGGAAGCCCTTGATCGCCCGAGCGCCGTTCGGGAGCGCCGGGTCGTCGAATTGTTTTTCGAAATCCTCCTGCTCCTCGTAGCTGATCTTGCGGTGACGCCTCGGGATCAGTTGGTAGACGAGGAGAACGAACAGTCCTAGGAGTTGGGTAGGGTATCTGTTCGTCGGCTACCTCCGAGAAGGATAGCATAGCGCAGGTCGAAGTCGGGGTCGTCGTCGCTGTCCGCCCTGAAAACGGGTCTAGTACGACTTTTCGGCTACGGTTTACTTTACGCCCCCCCCCCCCAGCCGGAAGTTTTTGGCTATAACTTTTTTATTTTACATTATTGTAGACTCAAATTAAAACTCTTAGTATATTTTTCGACGCTCTATCGAATGGCGTTGCAAAAATCCCGACAAAATAAGCGAAAACACCGACACCTTTGAGACCCTTCGGCTGTGGGGGGAAGGTAAACTCTTACCCGACTTTTCTAGCAACAGGACGACAGTTTTTTGGTTTGCGCCGAATCCAATTACATGGAGATTTTTGGAACAAGCGTGTACCGCAGTTCTGGTTCGTTAGCGGGGGGGGGGGGGTCTTTGGTCCCCCGCGCTTACAGTCCGGAATCCCGAAGCTCTGCATAGAAACGTACCCCGCGACCATGACGGAGTGGTTGAGCACGAGGAAGAGCAGCAGGGTCAGCATTCGGAAGTAAGGAGTGACGAATCTCAGAATATCGTAAATTCGTTTCGCAGAACAACTCGCATTCCGAGTCGGAATTTGACGGTGAGCACCTGGATTCCCAAAACCAGATGCAAATTTCGGTTTCAAATTTATCTTTTTTTTTCAAAATTCAAAAGCTCTTCGAATTCAACATTTTTCCCAAAAACCATTTATTCAATTCCAGACTTTTGCGAAAAAAACACAGCGAGGTTTTGGTATTCGGTGAGCTGCATCATTTGTGGTGTTTTGGAGGTGACCGGGTAGGGGTTGTGCAAAAGAATGTAGATGAGGCCCAAACTTCAGCTGCGAAGGTCACGCAGCACACCTTCCTGAAATTTGGGTATATATTGGGCATCAAGTAGTAGGCTCAAAAACTTGCGCAAGCCCTGATTTTAGCGAAGTAGCACTCAGTGAGGTCTTTTTAATTTCGTTTTTTTTGCTTACCGCGAAGGCTTTGAGCATGGCCTGCTCAGCTTGCGTCGGGGTGTCTGGACCTTCGCTGGAGCAGAGCTGAAAATTATCGTTAACGCAAGCCAAGTAGCTGCTGGGTGCCGGAGAAACCACCACCCTGGCATTGGTTCTGGATCGTTAGCGGGGGGGGCAAGACTCCAGATAACCCCCTCCCCCCAGCCGACCTCCACCTACCGTATCTCGGTTCCCTGTTCATCTACAGGTGGTGTGTGAAGTATACCAAAATACTCGCCAGAGCAAGACGAATATTTTGGTATACTTTACATACCGGTAGATAAACAGGCAGCCGAGATACGAAAGTTGAGGGGACGGCTGGGGGGTTATCTGGAGTTCAGCCTGGGGAACGGCCCTATAACAAGATATAAACGAGTTTGATACCATTTTACATAGTTTTCAGATGTTAATTTTGTAAAAGTTTATAAAAAACTATAAAACGCTTCAGAAATGCATGAAATTGCCAAATAATCTGAAGAAATCGACGAATTTTGATCATTAAAGAATTGTAGAAATATTTCTATAACTTTCTCGAAATCAAAAGTACCAAAAACGCTGTAAAAATACATTATTATCAATATGTGGAACAAAAAAGTGGTCCCCCGCTAACAGTACAGGACCAAATGCTTTTCCACTTTTCAAACACCTTTCTGACGTTTTTCTAAAAGTTTTCGATTTTTAATTTGGGTAAAACGTACTAAAACAATGCAATGTACACAACACTGTACCCACGCACTTAATTACTACCCACGCAAGCACCCAAAACTCGGTTCTTTAGGTTCGGGAAAGTATTCGGGGAAAACAAATTTTTCGGCGAAAGCCTAGATTTTTGTATAAATTGCGGATGCGTTTCTAAATTGTTTTTAACTATTCCTGTGCATAAAAACTACACACATTTTAACCAAAAAAATGTAAAAATAAAAAATTAGGTGAAAAATAGACCAAATGACCAAATTTTCGACTTTTTCAAACATTTTTCTAAATTTTTCTGAAAGTTATTCCGTTAAATATAGTAAACTTATAAAAAATGAAAACACTTTATATTTGATACTAGCCACCCGGGGACCACCAGGAAAAATTGGTTTCCCGGGAATACTTCTCCCCGCGATCCTAAGAACCCAAAACTCAAAATGAACACACATCAGACAGCCGGTCGATGGCCTCCTCGGCGAGGTCGGCAAGGTATTGCTCAATGGTCGTCTCCCACCCGTCGAGCCGGCCCTCAGCCGTGGCAGACTCCGCCCACCGGTAGGTGCACTGCGCCATCCGGCCATCCAGGTACGGGTCCGGCGCGTAGCTCATGGCTTTTCGGGTGAGTTCCATGGAGATGATCGACTGCAGCAGCTCCTCGGTCGTCAGCGCGTCGCTCTCGTAGCCCTTCGGCACCCAGTTCAGCAACTGCTCGTTGATCAACGACACCAGAGGGCCCGCGAATTCTGCGGCAACTTGGCGGCACATGCCTTCGAGATGGTCTAGCGTGGTCGCCTTCTTGTCGATGGCTTCCTTAAGCAAAATTCTTCTTAGGCAAAGCAGACTGACTGCTAGAACTCTGGAACGCACACTGTCACCCCCCAAGAACGCGCAGAGAGAGGCGTCATTAGTGGCGCCCCGTACTCGGCAAAGACCCTCTGGGGTTTGGGGCGCCTCTCAATCCCTTCCCGACTCGGCCCTGTGGTATAGTGGCTAGCGCGTCGGACTGTGGAGCGAACGATCACGGGTTCGACCCCCGTCCGGTGCGCAATTTCTTGCTTTTAACCAAAATTTTGATCGTTCTGACGGTCTTAAGGGTACTTACACATTTGCAAAGGAAAGTAGATCATTTTCTACCTCCGGCCAATCATTGCATTTTTCCGTATGGTGTCTTTCGGAATGGTGTCTTTTCGGGATGTTGTCCATAATTCGTAAAAACTATACCTTGAGCTCTTTGCCAGGGAGATTAATTAGGATCTCCCAGATGCCGCTGATGCATGAGGTCATCTCCAGCGGTGTGACGTTCTTCGTGGACAGGTTGGCGAGCATGGCACGCAAAGGCTCGCGATATTCGGACTGCAGAAGTGTTTTCTCCGGGTTCTCGTCCGCCACCTCGTTCTTCTCCACCCGGGATTCGGCCTTTAGAAGATCATTCTCGAGGTTCTCGTCGGCCTTCTCGTTCTCCTCCTTCCCATTCTCGGCATGTAGAAGATCTTCATCGGGATCCTTGTCCGCCTCGGCGCTGTTCCGGGGCACCGGGTCGTTGATTTTCTCTTGCTCCTCAATATCCTCCTGCTCCTCGTAGCTGATCTTGCGTCGAGGCCTCGGGATCAGTTGGTAGACGAGGAGAATGAGCAGTCCTAGAAGTTGCGTGGGGTATCTGGTTGGTAGGATACCTCCAAGAAGAATAGCATAGCCCAGGTCGAAGTCGGCGTCGACGTCGTCGCGGTCGGCTCTGAAATTATATCAAATGGTACTGGGCTGTTAGCGGGGGGGGGGCGCGTTTGTTCTAGTATTTTTATGGCTTCTTGAGCAATTTATAACTATAGAAAGTCGCGAAAAAAGTTAAAAAATGTCGGAACTGGCCAAAAAAGGTTAAAAATTTAAATTTTTTGGTGATTTACTAAATGGAAGGCCAAACGAAACGTACCCCACGGCCATGACGGAGTGGTTGAGCACGAGGGTGAGCAGCAGGGCCAGCATTCGGAAGTCAAAAAGTGGCGAATCGCAGAATATCGCGGAATTCGACGACTCCCATGCCGAGTCGGAATTTTAACGATGAGCACCTGGATTCCAAAACCTAGATGCAAATTTCGGCTTCAAATCTCGGTATCCAGATTTTTTTGGCTGAACGCCACATAACCACTTTTCGTATCTCGGCTGCCTGTTCATCTACAGGTGTGTCAAGTACCAGACGGTTCCAGTCGCTTAAATTACAATTAAATTAAAATTAATACAATTAATACACTTAAAAAACTATTTCGAGCCCAAGGGTGCGCCCCCAAGAACGCGCAGAGAGAGGCGTCATTAGTAGCGCCCCGTACTGAGCAAAGGCCCTCTTGGGTTTGGGGCGCCTCTCACTCCCTTCCCTACTCGTCGGCCCTGTGGTATAGTGGCTAGCGCGTCGGACTGTGGAGCAAGCCATCACGGGTTCGACCCTCGCCTGATGCTCGACTTTCTTGCTTTTAACGAAATTTCATCGTTCTGACGGTCCTTAACGATAATTTTCAGCTCTGCTCCGGCGAGGTTTTTGGTATACTTTACACATCTGTAGATGAACAGCAAGCCGAGATACCAAAGTTGGGTGCCGGCCGGGGGGGGGAACTGAACTCTTACCCAAATTCGGCATCCCAACAACAGTTCGGTGAGGAAAATAAACTTTGTCCCAGAAACCATTTATTCAATCCGAAGCCGGGGCGCAAAAGCCACACATGGATGACGGCAAAAACACATGGGAGGAGAAATATTGGGCCAACTGCATCGTTTTTGTGGGCGTGGCAGATGATCGGGCGGGAGTTGTGGAAGCGTACGTAGACAAGGCACCGGGCTTCAGTCCAAACGAAGCTCACTCAGCACGGATTTCTGGAATTTTGGTTGACTCCGGCTGCAAAATGGGCTACTATCTAGTGCGAGTCTGACAGTAACGATGATGTGTTATCCTTTTTCTTCTACGATCACCGCAATCGCTTACCGCAAAGGCGTTGATCATGTCCCGCTGAGCTTGCGTCGGGCCGGCTGGTCCAGGCTTATCCGCGGCCGAGCATGCCTGGAAAATTATCGCTGGGACAAGCAATGGTAAGAGTTAACTTTACCCCCCACCCCCACAGCCGAAGGGTCTCAAAGTTTTCGGTATTTTGCTTCATTTGTCTGGATTTTCTTAACTCCATTCGATAGAGCGTCGAAAAATATACTCAGAGTTTGAATTTGAGCCTAAGATAATGTACAATAAAAAAGCTATAGGCAAAGCCTTCCGGCTTTTAGTTGCTAAAAAGTAAAAAAAAATGCGAAAATTTTGATGTTTTCTGGTCGATTTTGACCCAAAAATTCAAAAAATTTCGAAAGTTATTATTTTTAGCATTGTTTTTATATTTAAAAGCTATGTAAAATGCTATGAAAAAGTTTATAATTTGGTATAAAACCCAGGAGAGTTACAGCGAAAAATTTAATTCACCCTCCCCCGCTAACATCTCAGGACCGACAGGTAACCCCCCCGCCGCCTGCTCCCAACCTTCCTATCTCGGCTCCCTGTTCATCTACAGGTGTGTAGAGTATACCAAAAAATTCGTCTTGCTCTGGCGAGTATTTTGGTTTACTTTACACACCTGTAGATGAACAGGGTGCCGAGATACGAAAGTCGGGGGCCGGCGCGGCGAGCGTCTAGAGTCTTACCAAAAATTGTTCCACAAAACCCAAAGATACCCACCTTGGACAACTCGTCCATGACCGCCTCGCCAATGTCGGAAAAGTGTTCCTCAACCGTCATCTGCCACCCGCGGAGGCCGCCCTCCCCGGCCGCGGCAGCCTCAGCCCACTGGTAGGTGAAGCGCTCGATGCGCGCGTCGTCGCACATGTCTCCCACGACGTCTCCCAACCAGGTCATCCCTTTCCGGCTGAGATCCGAGGCGATGAGGGTGCTCAGCAGCTCCTCCGTCGGCAGCGCGTCGCTCACGACGCCCGTCGGCTTCCATTTCCGCAACTTCGCGCTCATGAACGACACCAGGGAGGTCGAGAATTCTTCGGTAAGTTGGCGACACACGCTTTCGAGATGGGCCAATGTGGTGGCCTTGTTGGCGATGGCGCCCTGAAACCGGGGGTTGTTCTTGTTCAATCAATCGATTTTTCACGAATTCTCGGTTCTGCACGGTTTGTTTTTTTGTCTAAATCATTTTCTTAGGAACTAATTTTTCAAATATGTACAGGGAAGTGTTTCTAAATGGTTTTTTACTATAGCCAAACGTGAGAACTACAAATTTCTATTTAAAAAATATGAAAAATAACGATTTTTCGGCCAAAAATGGCGGATTTTTGTACAAAATTTCTACTTTCCTAAAGTTTTTGGCTAGTTTTTCTATTTGAAATATCGTTATAGATTACCAAAAACCCCGGTTAAAACACTTTCTATTAAGTTACGCGGCATGTCTAGAATTCAATTTTTTAAGTAATAATTTTAAATTTAATTTTTAATTTCAAGGTTGAGTTTTTATAATTAAATACTATGTAAAATGCTACAAAAGTGCACCCCCCCGAGCCGGCCCCACCTACCGTATCTCGGCTCCCCGTTATCCTACCGGGTTGTAATGTATACAAAAATACTCGCCTTGCTCGTGGCGAGCATTATGTTATACTTTACACACCTGTAGATGAACAGGGAGCCGAGATACAAAAGTGGGGGGACGGCTGGGGGTTATCTGGAGTCTTACAAGACAGGCCCTAGAGGGCCCCCCGAAATCGGCCGAAGGCCGAAGAGTTCATAAGGGGGACCCTTATGATTTCATTTTTCCAAAATTTTTTGCCTGCGGCGCTGTTTTTGTCTAATTTTAACACTAGTTTTAGTGTTATAAACCTTCTGTTTTCAAAAATTTTGCCTGCGGCGCTCTAGTTTTAGTCATATTAGTGAAAAATTTTTGGGGTCGCCCCCCCCCGAAATTTGGGTTTGTTACGGCCCTGTACCAAGATAACAATTAGTCTGGTCTTGGATTTACCAATTATACCTTGAGCTGGTTTGTAAATTCAGCGAGCGGAATCTCCCAAACGGCGCCGGGGCAGTCAAGGATCCCCATCATATTCGTGCTCCTCATGGCCACGAGCGCGATCATCGTGCTCAGCTCCTGGCGATATTTGGAGTGTAGAGGATCTTCATCGGGATCCTTGTCCGCCTCGGCGTTGCTCTGGGGCACCGGGTCGTTGACTTTCTCTTGCTCCTCAATATCCTCCTGCTCCTCGTAGCTGATCTTGCGGTGACGCCTCGGGACCAGTTGGTAGACGAGGAGAACGAACAGTCCTAGGAGTTGGGTAGAGTATCTGTTTGTAAGCTACCTCCAAGAAGGATAGCATAGCCCAGGTCGAAGTCGACTTCGGGGTCGTCGCTGTCCTCTCTGAAAGCGGTTCAAATTCAAGGGTAAGAGTGCAGTTTACCCCACCTCCGCCGGTACCCAACTTTTGTATCTCGGCTCCCTGTTCATCTACAGGTGTGTAAAGTATACCAAGATACTCGCCAGGGCAATACGAACAATTTGGTATACTTCGCACATCTGCAGATGCACAAGGAGCCGAGGTAAGGTAGGTGGGGGTTGCTGGGGCGTGGTGTAAACTGCACTTAAGCCAATTAAGGACGTTTGAGGTCAATTTTAGTGTTCCTAAAGGGTTAACTAGACGAAATATACCGTCGTATGTATCGAAACGTACTCCACGGCCATGACGGCGGGGTTGATGAGGATGAAGAGCAGCAGGGCCAGCATTTGGTAGTAAGGAAGAGGCGAATGAAGGAATACCGCAAAACTTGACGAAAGCGGGCGGGACCGGAAGTCATGCAAGATGATCAGATGCAAATGATGGAAACGTAGCAAATTTTATGCAAATTTTGAGGTTAAGCTGCCAGGGGTTTCGCGGGATGACTAAATCCCGAATCCAAAATTTGCATCTGGTAATTTGCACAAAAACGGAAAAATAGCGATCAAAATTTGACATGATCGAGTCGAGCCATAGCGAGTAGTGCGGCGGCTCCATTCTGCCTGTCTACCGCATGCTGACCCTGCTGCTCTTCCTCGTGCTCAACCAGTCCGTCATGGCCGTGGAGTACGTCTTGGAGAATTTTTAACGTTTTTTTGTCTTCTGCTTCAGAAACGACAGCGATGAGGTCAGCTTTGGTTTCGGCGCCCCCATCAACTATGCCCTTCTTCTTGGAGGTACCTTAAAAACAGATACCTTGAGGGTTTTATAGTGATTTTTAGATTTTACTCCACAAAACTTTATACATTGAAAAGTGTTTAAATATTTGAAAATTTTTCGATCGTTCTTAGTTTAAATAGTGTTTTATGTTACTAAAAACATGTTTCCGATTTCAGCCAAACATTCGCTTTAAAATTTTGTCTAGTTGTAATTTTTTCCTCCTTATCCACGCCTTAGGAAACAGGCCTGGGCTGAACTTCAGATACCCCCAGCTGATCCCCACCTACCCTATCTCGGCTCCCTGTTCATCTACAGGTGTGTAAAGTATACCAAAATACTCGCCAGAGCAAGACGAACATTTTGGTATACTTTACATACCTGTAGATGAACAGGGAGCGGAGATATAAAAGTTGGGTGTCGGTTGGGGGGGGGGGATATCTAGAGTTCAGCCAAAATATGCTTTCCCCCTGCAGACAACTCCCCCCGCTAACAGTCCAGTACCTCCTAGGGCTCCTCGCGCTTCTCGCCTACGGCCTGATCTGGAGGTCTCGCCGCAAGTCCCGCTACGAGCGACCGGTGCTCGTCGAGGAGGAGGATGAGGATATCGACGACAGCCAGCCGATCCGCTTCAACAGTGAAGTGCTGCAGAAGATCCATCCCACCCACTTGAATTCGCTGGTGGTCATGTACTCGATGGTGGCCATGCAAAAAATGGCGCCGCACGCAGAACGATACATGGCCATCTGGGAGAAGATGATCCGCTCACATGCTGAGGTGAGGCGGAAGGCGGTACCGGGCTGTTAGCGGGGTAACCCTGGCGTGAACCAATTTTTAGTTTAGTTTTTTCCAACATTTTTGAGTTTTTGCTCAAAAATGTGTGAGGATTGGCCAAAAATCAAAATTTTTTAATTTCCGAAATTTCCGAAATTTTTTACGTCGTAAAATCCATTTTTCTTGCATTTGCGGCAGTTTTTTAATGCATAAAAAACTGTTGAAATCAAAGTAGAAAAGCGTAAACTTTCTGGCCAAAATGTAAGAAACTTTACCAAAACAATAAAATTTTGAAGGTTGATTCTGAACTGTTAGCGGGGGGGGGATTTTTGGCAGGAGAAAACCATTTTCTGTTTTTTTTTATTTGGTGGTCATACCCAATATATTTTTATAGTGTTTTTTGGCAGTTTTCGATTGCTAGAAAGGCATCAAAAATATTTGAAAAATTTTGCAATTCGAAAGCTTTGACCTTTTTAGTCATTTTTCATACATTTTTGATCAAAATTTCCAAATTTTTTGCTCCAAAAACAAAACAAATTTGTATAGTTTTCTACTAGCTTTTTCTATGAAAACCTCTGTCTCAGTCGATGAAAGCCGCCGTCGCCAACAAGTCGGTCACGATGGACGTGATCGTCGAGGTGTTGCGCCATCTTGCCACCGGATTTGCCGCCCAGGTCATGGAATTGGTTCGCGAGCCGCTGGAGGCGCTCGACCCCTGGGTCAGGTTCAGCATTGTGAGCACTAGGGATGAGCTGATGCGCGGCGTCGTCGCCATACAGGTACGGAGCCGTTAACGGGGGGCTTAGGCCTTGGCCTACGAGGAAGTCCTAACCGAAGTTTACGTCTAACTTTAATCCCAAGCCTAGGCTTAAGCCGAATCTAAGCCTGAGCCTAAGCCTAAACCTCGGCCAAAATCTAAACCTAAGCCTAAGCCTGTGGCTAAGCCTAAGCCTAAGCCTAAGCCTAAGCCTAAGCCTAAGCCTAAGCCTAAGCCTAAGCCAGCCTAAGCCTAAGCCTAAGCCTAACTGTAAAGTGTTTTTACTCAACTTGGAGTTTCGATTCGGGACCAAGTGCATCTTGTACAGAATTATTCGCTGATTCCGAATATGTTGTCCAAATTTGCTACGGACCGTTATTCTGAAAGTTATACGGTAATTATGACCCTAGGGTAAGAGTCTAGAAAACCCCCCCCCCCCCAGCCGGCACCAACTTTTGTATCTCGGCCCCCCTTTGTGCTAGCGAGCTCTAAAGTATACCAAAATGTTCGCCGTAGGCTAATTAGTAAGACTACATTGCAGTTCAGTCGAAAAAAGTAATGAAAAATAAAAATAAGGAAGGTAGAAAAGTTGAAAAGTCGGCTGGGGGGTTTCCTAAGACTTGAGCCGACCCTAGTTTTCACCAAAATGAAGGTATCGTTATAGTTTTCGATTTTCTTCATTAATTTCAACGTCAAAATTGATTAGGCGTTGGCTCGACAAGCATCCTACAGCTCAAAACAAGCCTTTTAGCTAAAAAATGAGATTTTTATGCAAAAAGCAAAAGAAATGATGCCTAAGCATAAAACTCAGCTCGCTTTGCCTTTTCGCCTTAACTCCCCCCCCCCCCCCGCAAAAGGAACAGTACCTCCCTGCAGGTCAGCCGCAGCTGCTGGCCGAAAGAGATGCTGCCGAACGACACGGACGAGCAGATCGAGGCGAAGACGCGACTTTGGGCTGAGGTGCTGGCCATAGAGGGCCACAGCTTTGATGGCATCTACATGATGATCGAGAACTACACGTTGTCGTTGGTCGACGACGTCATCAAGGCTGTGTCGCAGGCAGGGTTTTTGCGTTTTACGCTTGTCCGGAGCTGAAATCTGTGGGATTAAAGAAATTAACTTTTTTTCGGCGCAAGTCTAGACTTTTTTATAGCTAGCTGATGCGTTTGTACATTGTTTTTAACTATTCCTAGTAAAAAAAAACTTTACAATCTTTCCTAAATTTGATTTTTGGTAGAAAAATTGATGTTTTGGAGCCAGAATGACCGACTTTTCGATTTTTCGAACTACGGCAGTACGTACGTAGCAGTACGGTAGTACGTACGTAGCTGTGCGGCAGTACGTACGTGGCAGTACGGTAGTACGTACGTAGCAGTACGGTCATACATCCTGCTTCGTAGTCTGGCGCGTTGCGTAGCTGACGTGACCTAGTCCACGGAAGGAGTTGATTCTCGGGCTTCTCGGCCCCCTTTAAAACCCATTTTAATCGGACCTCCAACTTTTTAGGCTCCAGCTCCCTGCAAGCAAGACCAGACGGCCCGGCGCAAACACCGCAAGAAGCAGCAAAAGCGCCAGTGGTAGCTGACCTCTACCCCCTTCTACGGCCACCTCTACCCAGCCGCCGCTCTCACAGAAAAATGAAGCAAATGCTGAAATACGTTCACCTCGATTGTCTTGTTTTTGTCATTGATGTTCCATTCCTTTTTGACGTTTCGATCGAGATGGAATAAATTGGTTTTGGAGAGGGGGTGCATTGAAGGTCGGACACCAGATGATTTACCCAGCCGACTCGCATCTGTTGTACCTCTCTCTCTCTTAGATTCTCCAAACTGATAAAAAAACTAGGAAAAAGTTTTCGTATAAATTATTAAATTTAACGTTGAAAGTTTTTTCCTTAGTAAAAAGAGTGGGGCAACGGACTTTGGCACGATTTTGAACACAGTGAGCCAGGTGGCGCGCGTTTCGTCAAAAAGGTCAAAATTTTAAAAATTTCAAGTTTCAAACTATTTTTTATGACTTCCTAGCAATCGAAAACTACTAAAAATACTATAAAAATGCATAATATATCATCGACAGGTAGGCATAGCTGGAAAAACACAAAAGTGGTTTTCCCCCTGCGAAAAATCCCCCCCCCCGCTAACAGCCCAGAACCACTTTTTTGAACCCTTGGCTACGGGCTCCCGATTTAAATGGTCCGGTAAGCGCCTTTAGCTTGGTTGTGAGCCTTTTATCAGTTGTATCCGGTGTTGCCCGTACTTGTTGAACCATAAAAATCATCTTCAACGAGATCGTGAGACCCGGGGGCGGCCGTAACCCCCACTCCAAACATCATTGTGCGTATTTTGAGGGTCGATATAGCCCGGTGGGGGCAAACATCAACGTCCATCACGGAGCTTATCGTTAGCCGATGGTTTTGTTCCTCACAGGAGCCTCTTTTTGGCGTGTTTGACCAAAAAACGCGGCCTTTATTGTGCGAACGTTAAACAGCTTTTCCATGTTGACCTAGCCATCTACGGGGTGTTGACCCTGCGTGGGCGGCCGGAGGCGGTTGATGGGCTTTTGGGCTAGCCGTTCGGCTTTGACCACCGGTCGACCAGTGACTATATAAGGTGCTTGAAAAATCGGGTAACAAACCTCGCAAAATGCCGAAGATTCTGTTCGTTCTCTGCCTTATTGCAATCCTTGCGACTTTTGTTGTAGCGGAGCTTACGGCCGCCGATGAAGACAACTCACTCTCTGAGGTACGTTTGGCACAGGTTACGTACGAATTACTTACACATGGACAGCTCCCTAGCCTCATTCTCCTGGCTGGTAATAGCGGCTCGAATCTAAGTTTACGTACCGGTGTGAAAATACGTAGCCACCTGCTACTGCCGATTCGGAGCGATTCGGAGCGTACTGGCACGTAGTACCTGGGCCTCAATGCCGTAATGCCAGGTACTCAAACTAAGATTGCGCGTAATGGTCCGGACTCGAGCCACGCTGAGGCCGTAAAAGCGCGTACTATATCGATACTGTTGAAGTTTTTGCGTAGTCGCGCCTAGATGGGCCGTACTGGTACGCACTGTTGCGTAGAGCTACTCGTAGTGCATTTTTTACCCGCGTACCCGGCTCGCAATCCTGCCGAATGGCCCAGACTCGGGCCATCCTAGTAGAAACCGTACGTACTCGCGCAATACTGATGAAGTTTGCGCGCACTAAAGCCGCGCATTGATACGTAGAGGGGTCGTAGTGATGTAGTAATCGTAGCTAACCCACAGGTGGCGCAAAAATGCTGTACCCGAAAAAGCTGTCCACCCTTACTGTTATTTGACGATTTTTGCCCGTAGCTGTAGTTTTCATTTTCTTCTACATTATTTGAAAAATGTGTCAAAAAATTCAGACTGAGTTCTTCCCGCCTGCGAATCGCGCGAAGCGCGGCGTCTGCAAGGCCGTGTTTAAGGCGCGGTGTTGCGGCAAACATGCTTGCGACCGGCAGGGATGCTTCTTGACCATGTGCGCGATATGTTGTTCTTGAGAATAAAGGTTATTCAGGATTTCCAGACAAAATAAGTAATACTGATCAATTATTTATTAAACACCGGACGCAAAAAACCCCGCAGAAAAGCAACACAGAAAAAATAGAACGAATAATCAGGCATAGAAAGATAGATAAGAAAGCGAGATAGAAAAAGAGAGAGTGAGAGAGAGAGATGCATGCTCACTTCATTCGTATCGAGCACTATTTATTCGGGGCCAAAAATAAACCCGGGTACACACATCGTCAAATACACAAAAAGTAAGCGTCACAATAAGATACGATCGGAGTGGCAAGGTACGGTAGATGGTGGCCGTGCTGCTTCTGGCATGGCTACCACAGAATATTGCCCTCGCGGACGCTTTGGTTGAACACTGCAAAAAAGCTTTAGAAGCCAAAGCTAAGCTTAAAGTAACTTTGGAAATAGATGCTGGCCGAAAAATTCCATTTTCATTCTTGAAAACATACGCTGATCGGCGACGTGGGCCGGCAGGTCCGCCCATTCCGTGTACACCTCGAGCTCGGGCTAAAAGCTTTAGTGGAGAATCATGGAGACAGAGAAAGAGAGAGAAAGAGAAAAAAAAAAGAGAGAGAGAGAGAGAGAGAGAGAGAAATTACCACAAAATAGTGGGTGCTGGTTTGTTAGCGGGGGGAAGGGGGGGTCCGCAGCCGCATCTCTCTCGCTCTCTTTCTCGCTCTCTCTCTCTCTCGCTCTCTCTCTCGCTCTCTCTCTCTCTCTCTCTCTCAAACCCACCTTGTTCCGATCCTTATTAACAAAGCGACAGTAGCTGTCTGGGCGCCTCTCGTTGGTCAGATAGCCTCCCTACGAAATGACGATTAAAATCTACAGTAAACGACTTGCCAACAGCTCCTCCATCTTCTTCGGCACCACAAACCAGACCTCCATGGTGTCCCTGCCTCGTAATATCTGATATTGAAGCATGGCCGAGTTCAGCTAATGGGTCTACGGATGTGTAACGCATACCAAAATATTCGTCTTGCTCTGCCGAGTATTTTGGTATACCCTACAGGCCCGTAGGACAACGGGTAGCCGAGATACGGTCGATGAGGCTCGACTGGGGCAGCAGACTTGACTTTAAACCGACCCTTTGAAACCTGTACTCCCAAGGCGAGAACCAGCCGGCGAGGAAGCACGGAGCCCAGCGTCCGTTCGGCGATGGCCCCTGAAAACAAATTCTGATCGACCAGGTACGGTACCCAAATGATGCAGCGGGATGCCCATGGGATACAGCGACGAATCGCCCATTGGAGCAAGAGAATCGCGGTCACGATGACCAGGCCGTACCACCAGACTGAAAGAAGGGCCTAGTAAAGACTTCGAAATGCCTGGGAAGTCTTACAATCCGGGGCCTAAGTATAAGCTTAAGTCTAGTCCTATTCGAAGCGAACCGACCGGAAAACGTCGAATCTGGCTCAGCGTCGGCGGGCGGATCGAAATCGCTCGATGGGCCGCCTGGCCTGAAAACCGAAAATGCGCTTGCGGGCAAACGCCATTTCGTGCTCTCTCACTATATCCGGGTCTCTTTCCCCTCACCCTCTCTCTCTCTCTCTCTCCTCTCTCTCTCTCTCTCTCTTTTTTTTTTTTTTTTTTCTCCCTCTCTTCTCTCTCGCACTCTCCCTCTCTCTATCACTCTCTCTTTCTCTCTCTCTTCTCCTCTCTCTCTATCCCTCTTCTCTCTCGCACTCTCCCTCTCTCACCCCTCTCTCTCGCTCTATCACTCTCTCTCATTCTCCTCACTCTCTCCCTCTCGCCCTGACACCTACTTCTCGCCGATGACGGCGTGGTTGATGAGTATGAAGAGCAGCAGGGTCAGCATACGGTAGCTGGGCATACTGTAGCCACCAAGCAGTACTATCAACAATCGGTTAGTCGGAAGTGTGACGTTGTTTCTCACGTTTATACAATTCCAGCGTAAAATATGCAAATTTAGACTATATAATTGGAGCAAATCTACTATGATCATCTACAGCTTGGCCAGCTACCTGAGTCCATCGGAAGATCCTCAAAAACCCGGTACGAATATTTATTCGAAACATACATTGGCGATACGCAAACACATCTAATCATCCAAGGAAAGCACATTCCAGAGGGGGCCGGGTCAGAGATCAACAGGAAGGAGTACGGTGGGTATTCTAGGTCGGGGTGCGGTAGATGATCATCGCTTCCATCGTAAGCGTCGAATGCGCGCCTTCTCCGCCCTCTCGGCTTTCAATTCCTCCTGCATCCGTCTTACGTTTGCCAAGGTCAATGCGTGTTCGGTGCAGCTACCATCCTTGTGTTTCCACCAGAACTAAAACGGTGTTTGGAAAGCCGGAGAAAGAGAGAGGGGAGAGAGAGGGAGAGAGAGAGACGAAGAGTGTTGTGGGAGACCCACTTGTGACTGTCGGCCGGGTCCACCACTGGAAGATGGGACGGATAACCCATCGGAGCACGGCAATCGCAGCGGCCGCCCCCAAGCAGTACCACCAAACTGAAAGGAAGATGCAAACCTAAGTTTAAGCCTAAGCCTAGATTAGCCTAGCTTCAAACCTACAAAACCTAAGCCCAAGCCCAAATTTAGGCCGATCACACTAATGTTTCCAAGCCTAAGCCGAGGGAAAAGTCATTTTGAGCAAAAAGCTCCAGATAAACCCCGGCCGACCCCACCTACGTACCTCGGCTCCCTGTTCATCTACAGGTGTGTAAAGTATATCAAAATACTCGCCAGAGCAAGACGAACATTTTGGTATTCGTTTACACATCTGTAGACAAACAGGAGCCCGAGATACAAACGTTGGGTGCCCGCTGGGGGGGGGGGTTATCCCTGGAGTCTTACCAAGTCACTACCCCGAAAAGCCATTACCGCGAAAAGTCACTACCCCGAACGTTAGCCTAAGCCTAAGCCCAAGCATCAGCCCTAGCAGACGCTCTAAGACTAAGCCCAAGCCTAAGCCTAAGCTGATACCCAAGTCGAAAGCTAAGCCTAAACTGGCAAGTGCGAAAAAACCGTACTTGGCCAGGCATCGGTCGTCCGCTGGAAATAGGTAGGAAGCAACGGCGGTGATGAAGAGCGAGACCCACAATAGATCACCGAGCACCAGCTTGTAGTTGCAGCGCCAAGGCTCTTCCGTTGGGCTGTAAAGGTGTTGAAGGTTTAGCTCACTCGCTCTCTCGCTCTCTCTCACTCTCTCTTTCTCTCTCTATCTTTCTAATTTTCAAACCCTACTTCTCCGGGCTGCTATAGATCGTATGAGCGAGGGGAGAAGGGAATGGGCTCCTCCTAGAAACAAAAAAACGAAACATCGATAGCACCAAACATACTTCTTGCCCACGACGGCGTGGCTGGTGAGGATGAAGAGCAGCAGCGCTAGCATACGGTAGCTGCGCATACTGTAGCTACGAAGCAGAGCGATCAACGATCACCGAATTGGAAGAGTAAAGTTGTTTCTCACCTTTTACAAACCCGCTAAAAAATATGCAAATTTTAGACCATCATTGGAACGAATCTAAGTCAGGTCGATAGTATTGAACGTTCAGTGGGACGGCCTTGAGGTAATCTACAGCTTGGTAAGCTAGCAGAGTCCATTGGAAGAATCTCAAAAACCCGGTACGAATATTTATTCGAAAAAATCCATTGGCGATGCCAAAGCACATTCAAAAGGGACGGGGCCAGGGATCAACAGGAGCGCGGTGGATATGGTAGGTCGGGGTGCGGTAGATGATCATCGCCGGAGAGGCCGAATGCGCGTCCTCTCCTCAAACGCGGCGTCGCACTCGTCCAGCATCCGCCTGACGTCATCCATGGTCACTGTGTGTTCGGTGCAGCTGCCATCCATGTTGCGCCCCAGAACTGAAACGGTGTTGTCTCGACAGCGAGAGGAGGGAGAGAGAGAGCCAGAGAGAGTGAGAGGAGAGTGAGAGAGAGGGAAAGCGAGAGAGAGACCTACGGTGACTGCCGACCGTGACCACCACTGGTAGATGGGACGGATCACCCATCGGACCACGGCAATCGCAGCCGCCGTCCCCAAGCAGTACCACCAGACTGAAAGGAAGAAGCAGGGTTAAGCCTAAGTCTAAGCCCAAGCCTGCTCCCAAGCCCAAGCCTAGGCTCACCCAACCAAAAATCAGAAGCTGGAGCCTAAACCTATACCTAAGTACAAGCCTAAGCCTAAACTGGAAAGTGCGGCTGAACTCCAGATCCCCCACCCCCAGCCGGCCACCTCTTGTATCTCGGTTCTCTGTTCATCTACAGGTGTGTAAAGTATACCAAAATACTCGCCAGAGCAAGACGAACATTTTGGTATACTTTACACCCCTGTAGATGAACAGGGAGCCGAGATACAAAAGTTGGGGGCCGGCTGGGGGGGGAGGGGGTTATCTGGAGTCTTACCGAGAGTGCGAAAAAACTGTCGCGAAAAACCGTACTTGGCCACGCCTCGGTCGTCCGCGGAAATAGGTAGGCGGCGGCGGCAACGGCGGTGATAAACAGCCCGACCCACACCAGATCGCTGAACGCCATGTTGAACACCATATGGCCGCGCCAAGGCTCTTCCGATGGGCTGTAAAGGCACTGTAGAATTAGTCTCAGGTATTAGTCTCCTAAAGGTCTAAAAATCCCTAATCATGTCATAATAAGTATCTTAACCGGTTTTTAGTAAAATTTCCTACACTCCAAAGTGGTCAGCTTTCCCAAAAAATTACCTGGGGCGGCTGGGGGCGAGTCGACCCTTCCGCATGACGGGGTGAATAGAGAAATGACCGGGGAGTGTGATTTGGAGTGGCATATTCGACGCAGGGATTCTGCTTCAGGATTAAAATAAGGATATGGATATATGGGATATATGGATATATACAAATGATTCGAATGATACAGAGAGCGAGAGAGTGGGGAGAGAGAGAGAGAGAGAGGAGAGTGAGAGCGTGACAGAGTCAAGGATACATGGCGAGAGCGAGACCGCAGAAAAAGAGAGAGAGGGAGAGTGAGATAGGGAGTGAGAACGAACGATATAGATTGGGAGATTAAGAGAGAGCGAGAGCGAGGGCGAGAGTGAGGCAGACCCGCAGAGAGAAGGCGAGAGAGTGAGAGTGAGAGAGACTAAGAGAGTGAGAGAGAGGCTTGAATGGACACGTTTTTCCTTAAACCACTATGCAAAAGTCTTAATGTTTTGGAAATGTTTCGCATGTTTTCGACCAAAAATCAGCTAAATTTCGAAAATTGTGGTTATTCTTATTTTATTGTGGACTTTTTATATACACAATTCCTCGAAAAAGGCATGCAAAGCGTTTATATTTCAGGATAGGGCCAGGGCAAAATTGGTCGAATCGTCCCCACCGCTAAGAGTCCAGTCCGGAGCCTTGCGCTGCTACGGGTAGGCATTTCTCGAGCGCCGTTTTTCCTCTGTAAACCCAGCTTCGCATGCTAGCAGAGACCATTTGACGCAACCCAAAATCCCGCCCAAATATTTATTCCAAAAAAGGGGATTGGAGACACCAAGTCACACATCCCCAAATCCAAAGAAAGCACATTCGAACGAGGGGGCGGGACCATAGATCAGCAGGAGTACGGTAGGGACGGTGAGCGGCGGCGGTACGGCAGGACGGGTAGGTGCGGTAGATGATCATTTTTGAACATAACTCCACCCTAGTCGTTTCATATCAGCATCGTTGAAGTCGCGGGTCACCAAGTTGCCGTCACGATTGAACTCGTAGATCTGAAAGTCGGAATTAAGCTCTTGAAGGTAAGAGATGGTATTGACAAAAAAGGTATACGGCGGCTACGGATTTTTTCGGCCCAAGCCTAAATTTTTTTCTAAATAGCGCATGCGTTTCTAAATGGTTTTTAACTATTCCTGAGCGTAAAGCTACCCACATTTAATTATAATTTTAGTTGGAAAAGCCTATAGAACCATTAGAGTTAGCGGGGGAAAGACCCAGAAATGACCAATTTTCGACTTTTCAAACATTTTCCCAACTTTTGAAAGCTTTTTTTCCACACCCCTTTTTTTTACCCCACCCCCACACACCCACACACACACCACCCCCCCACACACACACCCCCACTACCTTCCACACCACACTTACTTTTTTACCACCTTTTACTTTATATTTTTTATTATTTTTATGCTTTTTATACTTACTTACTTTTATATCTTTTTTCTCTCTTCCACCACTTTTGCCTTTTTTATGTTTCTATATACTATCTCGCCCTGGACGTGGATCAGGTTACTAAAGTGATCGAAACTTTATGTTGGTTCTGGATCAATCGGGACGAACAGGAGGTTAGTTCCCAGATCGGAATAATGTTAATAAATCGAAGATCAATCAAAAACTTAGGTGGGGTTCACCTCACCCCCACTACCTGACAAAGTTAATCAAAGTTTCGGTATTTTCGCTTATTTTGTCAGGATTTTTGCAACGCCATTCTATAGAGCGTCGAAAAATATACTACGAGTTTTAATTTGAGCCTACAATATAATGTAAATAAAAAAAGCTAGAGCCAAAAACTTCCGGTTGAAATTAAAACAAACCATAGCCAAAACTTGAGTTCCTTCTATGTCCTCCATGGAAAAATCCGTCTAACCTTTATTTTTATCATAGCTATTTTATGTTACATTTTTAACTAAAATTAAAACCCGTAGTATGTTTTTGGATGCTCTATCGAATGGCGTCCTTAAAAAACAGTGTCGGATCGGAATGTCGGAAAACAGCCGCTCAATCCAATTTTAAAGGATTACTTTTGTTTGCTATAACCTTTTCATATTACAATAATTTGCGCTAAAACAAAAACTCTTAGTATATTTTTCGATGCTCTATCGAGTGGCGTTGCAAAAATCCCGACAAAATAACGGTAATATAAAAAAGGCATGTCTGTTCTGTCACTCCCCCCACCGCGTAGCCGACATATACCGACAAAAGTCCCCTAACAGCAGAACCGAATCGGAGCGTATCTCGAGGTCCGGCGGGTCATTCAAGAACTTGACCTAAAATTGATGTAACCAAATGATGAAAGGGAACTACAAACAGTAGATAGAGATGCCACCTTACCCGGGTTTGAAAGCCGCTGCGCCTGTTTTTAAACCCCTGGCCTCGTCTAGGGTCCTAGCTAGGGGCCGTGATTCAGTTTACCCCACCACTGGACAGGCCCACCTGCACCGTATCTCGACAACCCCGTCGTTGTAGCAGCAGAATTGTAAAGTATACCAGATGCTCTCCAGGCAGACGAACATCCTGGTTACTTTTACACCTATAGACGGAACAGGGAGCCGAGATACGGTAGGTAGGTTGCGAGCCAGCTGGGGGAAGGGGGTAAATTGAACCTCCCTAACCGACTAGGGTCCCGGATCCAGCAGGTGTTTTCTTGTTTCTACACGAATATTTCGCAAAAAAACCCAATTTTTTTGACCAAAAATAGTCAAGTTTCGGCCAGAACGCCAGGAAAAAAAATTGTCTTTTAATTTTTCTTACTTGTGGGGACCGTCTCTCCCCCCCGATGTCACAAGAGACGCTTGGTCAACTCTGGAATCGGCTAAATGAGGTATAACCTAACCTTGTCGATATCCAGGAGTCTTCTTCCTCTGCAGCCGGTTTTAGAGCGCTAGCCTCGGCCGGCTGAGCACAACGGGTTTCTAAATTTTTTAGGATAGTTTTTGCTCGAGAAATTTCGTTGGGTTAGCCAAAAATAATCGTAAACCACTTGTTATTACGTCAACCTGGCGTTGCTGGACAAATCGGCAAAATTTGGCTGTACCCTCCTTCCCCCGATAATGCAAAAGTACTTTTGATAAAACTTTGGGATTGGATAAATAAACTCCCACATTGGCCTGGTCAGTCTTCTGAGTTTTCTTCTCTGCGGCCGGTTCAGGAGCGCTTTAGCAGAACCAGCTGGCGCTGACTGAGTTTCTAAATTTTTTTATAGATTTTGATCGTGGAATGTCGTTAGATTAACCAAAAGGGTAAAACTCCAGATACCCCCCCCCCCTCCCCAGCCGCCACCCAACTTTTTTATCTCGGTCGCCTGTTCATCTACAGGTGTGTAAGGTATACCAAAATGTTCGTCTTGCTCTGGCGAGTATTTTGGTATACTTTACACACTGTAGGCTGAAACCTAGGAGCTACGATTAGGTAGGGGGGTCGGCTGGGGCGGGGGAGGGTGGGCAAACCGCATCTAAGCCAACTTTGGAATTGGATCTAAAAACTCTGACACTGACCTTGTCGGTTTTCGGAGCCTTCTTCTTTGCGGCCGGTTGAGAAGCGCTAGCAGGAGCCGGTTGAGCACAAGCGGATTTCTAAATTGTTTATAGTTTTTGCAGACAAAATATCGTTAAATATCGGTTGCAGCGGTATATCTGGAGTCTGCCCAAAGATTTTTAAGTTAACCTGGTCGGTTTCCAAAGTTTCCTTCTCTTTTGGAGGCTCAGAAGCGTTAGAGGCCAGCTGAGCATGAGTTTTTGGTGGACCCGTCCAGATGACGAGCAGGCGGACGATGCACAGAGCGACGAAAATCGCCCAACCGGCCACCAGCAGAACTGAAAAAATAGATAGAGAGAGGGGAGGGAGAAAGAGCGAGAGAAAGGGAGCGAGAGAGAGAAGAGAGTGATAAAAGAGAGATAGGGAGAGTGAGAGAGAGTGAGATAGACAGAAAGAGCTTCAAATACCATAAACCCACTCCAAAAAATCGTCATTGCATAATCGCTCCCGTCGGATGTTTCGTCGACGATAGAAGCCGGGTCGTGCCTGAAAATGGCGTATAAAGGGGAGAATTAAAGGGGATAAGAAGTTTATCTCTCTCTCCCTCTCTCTTTCTCGCTCTCTCTCTCTCACTCTACCTCGCTCTCAGCCCTATCTACCTAACATACATACCTCCAAGTTTTCGAAACCTACTGCTGAGCCGAGCTGCCAGAGGTCGACGTCTGAGCGGCGGGAGAAGGGAATAGGCTCCTCCTGGAAACAAAAAAATGAAACGTCATTAGCATCGGACGTACTTCTTGCCCACGACGGCGTGGCTGGTGAGGATGAAGAACAGCAGGGCCAGCATACGGTAGGACGGGGCACGGTAGGTGGTCATCGCGTAGCCACCAAGCAGCCCGACCAACGGGTGGTGAAATGGATGAGTGAGAGGAGCTAAGGGGTTTTATGGCATTCCGGGAATCATATGCAAATTCGAAAATTGTGAATCTGTTGATTTTAATATGTTTCTGGGCAAAAAGGGTTTTAGAAGAGAGAGAGAGAGAGAGAGAGAGAGAGAGCGAGAGAGCGAAAGAGAGCGAGAGAGTGATCGAGCGAGTAAGCGAGAGAACGTGAGAGAGAGCGAAAGAGAGGGAGAAAGAGAAGAGAGAGAGAGAGAGAGAGAGAGAGATAAAGCTTCTCGTTCAAAAAACAATTTATTCAAGTTCATTCGATGTACACAGAGCGACGCAATATCATTGAAAGAATGAAATTCAATGGGAAAGTATTTTGGCATCTGTTTCGTTGGAGTAGACAGTAGAGCGGTCCGCTACCACTTCTGCCTCTGGCCCTTCTTGCGGTGCTTTCGCTGCGCTGGATTGTCCTGTCGCACGATCGACAGACCCTGAAATCCGGAATTTGGACCAAAGCCGCTTCTTTTGTGTTACCATGTCTTAAAAATTATTAAAAAACAACGGAAGCCCATTTCTCATAAACTTATTTCTCATAAAACTTGATTTCTCACGAGCTTCGACATACCGGTCAAGGTCCCATTCTTTGGCCCGCGGCGCCA